AAATGTAAACAATGCGCGTTTTCCTACGGGGATGCGACGATCTTTGCTTGTGGGAGCCCTCTTGGGACGCCGCTTAGGGACCTCTTGGGGCGTCTTGAAGGCCCGTTGGGCCGTCTTGAGGCCATCGTAGGCGCTTGGGGATGGTATCTCGGCGTCTTCCTGCTCTTTTGGGCCGTCTGGAGGGCTTCTCGGGCTCCTCTTGGACCGATTTGGAGCCCTCCTGGGCTCCGAAAAAATAGTTCTTGAGGGTTTATTGGGCCTTCTTTGAGCGCTTTTGGGCCGTTTTTGAGCGGTCTAGAGGGTCTCTCGGGCCGTCTTGGGGTGATCTTGGGGGCCTCTTGGGCCGCCTTGAAAGGTGTGGAAGACGAAGAGGCGGATATGTTAAAAATGCACGTTTCCCCAAGGGAATGAGACGATTTTTGCTTGTGGGAGCCCTCTTGGGACGCCGCTTAGGGACCTCCTACAGACCTCTTGGGGCGTCTTGAAGGCCTGTTTGGCCGTCTTGAGTCCACCGTAAACGTTTGGCATTGATATTCCGGCGTCTCCCGGCTCTCTTGGACCGTTTGGAAAGCTTCTCGGGCCCCTCTTGGACCGATTTGCAGCCCTCCTGGGCTCCGAAAAAGAGTTCTTCAGGGTTTAGTGGGCCTTCTTGCAGCGCTGTTGGGCCGTCTTTGAGCGGTCTTGAGGGTCTCTCGTGCCGTCTTGGGGTGATCTTGGGGGCCTCTGGGACCGCCTTGAAAGGTGTGAAAAACGAAGAGGCGGATATGTAAAACATATACGTTTTCCTAAGGGAATGAGACGATCTTTGCTTGTGGGAACCCTCTTGGGACGCCGCTTAGGGACCTCTTGGGGCGTCTTGAAGGCCTGTTTGGTCGTTTTGAGGCCGTCGCAGGCGCTTGGGGGTGGTATCTCGGCGTCTCCCGGCTCTGTTGGACCGTCTGGAGGGCTTCTCGGGCTCCTCTTGGACCGATTTGGAGCCCTCCTGGGCTTCGAAAAAGAGTTCATGAGGGTTTATTGGGCCTTCTTGGGGCGCTCTTGGGCCGTCTTTGAGCTGTTTAGAAGGTGTCTCGGGCCGTCTTGGGGTGATCTTGGGGGCCTGGACCGCCTTGAAAGGTGTGGAAGACGAAGAGGCGGATATGTTAAACATGCACGTTTTCCCAAGGGAATGGGGCGGTTTTTGCTTGTGGGAGCCCTCTTGGGGCGCCGCTTAGGGACCTCTTAGGGACCTCTTAGGGCGTCTTGACGGCCTGTTGGGCCGTCTTGAGTCCACCGTAAGCGTTTGGGAGTGATATTCCGGCGTCTCCCGGCTCTCTTGGACCGTCTGGAAAGCTTCTCGGGCCCCTCTTGGACCGATTTGGAACCCTCCTGGGCTCCGAAAAAATAGTTTTTCAGGGTTTAGTGGGCCTTCTTGCAGCGCTCTTGGGCCGCCTTTGAGCGGTCTTGAGGGTCTATCGGGCCGTCTTGGGGTGATCTTGGGGGCCTATTGGGCCGCCTTGAAAGGTGTGAAAGACGAAGAGGCGGATATGTAAAAAATGTACGTTTTCCTAAGGGAATGGGGTGGTTTTTGCTTGTGGGAGCCCTCTTGGGGCGCCGCTTAGGGACCTCTTGGGGCGTCTTGAAGGCCTGTTGGGCCGTCTTGAGGCCATCGCAAGCGTTTGGGAGTGATGTTTCGGCGTCTCCCGGCTCTCTTGGACCGTCTGGAAAGCTTCTCGGGCCTCTCTTGAACCGTTTCGAGCCCTCCTGGGCTCCGACAAGGGACCTTGCCGGGAGTCAGCCGGGAGTCTGCCGGGACCTTGCCGGGACCTTGCCGGGACCTTGCCGGGGTACTTTTCGTCCGGGGGCCCCCATAGGGCCCGCCCCGCGCGCGCGAACTAGAACTACTGTTGAGCAGTTGCCGGAGATCTTAGCACGCCTCTGGCCCGTTGGGCCGGCGAATTTACTTGTGTTTTCCCTGGGCCCCTTTTATGTATCGGGCGAAGAGAATTATGCACATGCACCGATCCTGGCAAGGCCCATCTTTGACCCAGGATCGGTGCATATGCCTTCCTGGCCAAGGTAGGAGGGCGTATGCACCGATCCTGGGCTCAGGATGGTCGGTGCATGTGCATAGTTCTTTTCCCTCTAGTTGGGCCGGCGAATTTATGTGTGTTTTCCCTGGGCCCCTTTTATGTAGTCTCTTTGCAAGAGGTCGTGGCCTCGAGGGCCCGTGCGCACACGCGTTTTCTCATAACCTCCAGTGGCCTCGAGGGCAAGGGTGCGTAGTGTGTCGCTCGGGGTCGTGGCCTCGAAGGCGATGGTCCATGATCTTTTGCACGGGCTCGTGGCCTGCAAGGGGCGAACCTGCTGACTGTTTGCGAGGGATCGCGGCCTCGAAGGCGCGGGCCACACGGGGGTCGGGTGCGGAAGCGCTCCTTACTGGTGCCACCTTTTTGGACATGATCTCTTTGCTTCGGCAGCCAGTGGCTAGACATGCCTGGCGTTCCGCGTTGCCGAGCTCCTGAGACTCTTGCAGCGCTGCGAATTTCTTCAGGAGGAACGTTTGAGGAGGAAGGAAAATGAGGAGGAGGAGGACGAGGAGGAGGAGGAGGACGGAGGAGATGGAGGAGGAGGAAGATGGGGAGGAGGAGGAGGAGGAGGAAGAGGAGGAGGAGGAGGGTTCCCTACCCCTTCCCCCTCCTTGTCACCCCCTGCCTCTCTCACCCTCCTCTTGGCTCTCCTCCCGCCCACAGCCCGTCTCCTCCCACCTCTCGGCTCGCCCCCCTCCCCCCCGTCCCCCTCTCGCTCTCCCTCCCGCCCCCGCCCCCCGCTCCCGCCTCCTGGACCTTCCCTCTGGCCCCCCGTCCGCCGCCGCCCCCTCCCCTCCCCCCCTCTCGGGAGGCCCGCTGGGGACGTGGGGGGCCGGCCTGCGAGGCGCGGCGACTCCGTGGAGGACCAGGCGGCGGGGAACCCCTGGCAGGACCGAGCGCGCGCGCGCTCCAGTGAACCACGGGGAGGAGCGAGGAACGCGGAGCGAGGAGCGAGGAGCGCGGAGCGAGGAGCGAGGAGCGAGGAGCGAGGAGCGAGGAGCGAGGAGCGAGGAGCGAGGAGCGAGGAGGAGGAGGAGGAGGAGGAGGAGGAGGAGGAGGAGCGAGGAGCGAGGAGCGAGGAGCGAGGAGCGAGGAGGAGGAGGAGGAGGAGGAGGAGGAGGAGGAGGACCAGTGTAAACCCAAAAGTCATCAGCGATGTTGGAACTAACCCTCCCTCAAAGCTCCCTCTTCATAGGCTCGATACAACGGCTCATTTCCATTGAGGGGACAGTCTCGTTGGAAGACGACGGTTTGAAGATTTTGAAGCATGCCAACACAGTATTCTCGGGATTTCCACGCCATGGATCAAGCTGACTGCTGCGTCCTGACGATCTGGAATCGTGCCAGAACGCCATTCTTTGGACATCAACACCGCGAATCAACATAACTGTTGCACCCGCATAATCCTGAATCCTTCCAAAACGCAATTTCTGGTTCGTTGATCATGGGAATCCGTGAAACCCTGGCACATGTTTAAAAACGAATGTGCGCGGCGCTAAGGCGACGGCCACATGTTGAAAAAGTACCGCCCTCACTCCGTGAAACTCTGGCAATCAAACAACGAATGTGCGCGGCGCTCAGGCGAGAGCCAGATTTTGAAAAAAGGATCCGCCCTCAAACCGTGAAGCTCTTGCAACTATTCAAAACGGATGTGCGCGGCGCTAAGGCGAGAGCCACATTTTGAAAACGAGCCTCCCTCAATCCGTGAAGCTGTGACAATTTGCTGAAACGAATGTGTGCGGCGTAAAGCGAGAGCCACATTTTGAAAACGACCCGCCCTCGACCCGTGAAATTCTTGTTTTTTTAAAACGACGAGTGCGCGCGGCGCGAAGGCGAGAGCCACATTTTGAAAACGACCCGCCCTCAATCCGTGAAACCCTTGCACACTTATGAAACGAATCTGCGCGGCGCTAAGGCGAGAGCCAGATTTTGAACAGGAGCCGCCCTCCATCCGTGAAGTTCTTGCAATTTTTAAACGAATCTGCGCGGCGCTAAGGCGAGAGCCGCATTTTGAAATTGACCCGCTCTCCATCTGTGAAGCTGTTGTCATCTTTTAAGCTTCATAATCATAAATGGTGAGGAAGTCTCAGGCGAAACGCCCTGCCCGCCCTAAAAACTGCCCTCGAGGTGCTACAGGGAGACGTTTTTCTTAAAAACAAAAAAAGGAGAAGGAATGGAGGAGGAGGAGGAGGAGGAGGAGGAGGAGGAGGAGGAGGAGGAGGAGGACGAGGACGAGGACGAGGAGGAGGAGGAGGAGGAGGAGGAGGAGGAGGAGGAGGAGGAGGAGCAGCGACGGACGCAGGGCTTCCGCTGCCTCTGGGGTGCCCTCACCGAATAAAGAAAAATCACGGGCGGGCAGCAGCCCGTTCGTCGTTCCCGGATGCCCGCGGGCCTCAGGATCCTCTTCCTGGTTTCTCTTCCGCCCCCCCCCTCGTCCGCCATCCCTCCTCCCCTCCCTCCGACTTGCCCTGTTTTCTCGGATGCGCACATGCAGCCCGATGCACACCGCTGACCCTGACTCGAGCCCGTAGTCGCGCCTTCAGCAAGTATCGCGCTGGTTGGCTTGGCAACCCGCGGTTGCCTTATATTCGGGCACGGTCCTGCTTCCATGCTATACGCCCCAAGAACCGTAGAGCCTGAGCGCGCACGAAGCGCACATACTTGTTCTAATCCATATATAGTGAGAGAAACAGCAAGCGAGAGAGAGAGAGAGATAGCGAGAGAGAAAGAGATGGAGTGAGAGGAACAGAGAGAGAGAGAGAGAGAGAGAGAGGGAAAGAGAGAGAAATAGAGAGTCAAAGAGAGAGGATGGTTCCCTGATCGCCGCATGCACTGCGATCCCGCAGCCCCTTCCCGAGACGCTCGCAGAGTTCTCGCCCGCGCCGCCCCGGCCACCCTCCAGACGCCCGCACCAGCCCCCCCCCCTCTGCCGCCATGGCAGCCCTCGGTGGCCAGACCCTCGCCGCCGCCGCCCCCGCGCAGCCGCCCTCGGCCAGCGGGGACCCGGCGCGCGAGGCTTTCCGCGCCCTCGGGCGCCAGGCGTCGGCCGGGCTCGAGGCGGCGGCCAGCGGCCTCCGCGAGCGCGTGGGCACGCTGATGGAGGGCCAGCGCCTCCTCAGCAGCGGCGCCGCGGCGGAGCGGGCGCTGCTGGCGAAGGCAGGGCTGGACCCGAACGCTGTTTTTGGCCGGGCTTCGGGGGCCTCTCCTTTCTCAGGAGGGGAAAAAACACACAGACACAATTAATCATCGATTCCCCAGAACATATGGGAAAATATGGGCAGTGGGGGGGGAGACAGAAACCAAGAAAATATTGGAAAATATGGGGGGTCCTTCTATTTGTGTGTACTTATTTGTGTTTCCTGGGGCCCCTTCAGTTTCTTCGGTCCGGGAGGGGAGGTGCAGGGAAACAGGTGGAGCAGCACGAGCCACCAAGGCGAGCACACATTCGGCAGACAGCGTTCAGGTCCAGCCCTGGGCGCAGGGTGCCGCAGCAGAGGCGTCCGCGGCGGACGCGGAGGCCCTGCGGGTCGCGCCCGGCGCGCTCGCAGCGATCGAGGGCGCCGCCCAGATGCTGTGGTACGCCGCCCACCTGGACGAGTTGGCCCCCAACAGCGAGCTCCGAGATCTGGCGGAGGTCTACTTCGAACGTGCCAGGGCGTTCAGGCTCTCCACCGACACCCTGGGAGGCGGCGCGCTGGTGGCTCCAGAGCTGTCCGCGGCGGAGCAGGACGCCATATACCTGGCCCAGACGAGGGCTGCGCTGGCCTGCGGCCTCGACCTGGCCTGCCAGACCGTCAAGGCGAGGTCGGCCGAGGGCGCGGCCGCAGTCGACAAGGCGTCCAGGGGGCTCGCTGACGGCTGCTGCGCGGGTGCCGCGCACCCCGCGCCCCGCCCCGCACCCGAGGCCGCGCCGGCGTGGTGCAGGCCGCAGACGCTGGAGGAGGTGAGGGGGCTCCTGCAGGACAGAGCGCATGCCCAGGTGCAGGCGACCACGCAGGCGGTGAGCCAGCGCGCGGGCGTCGCGAGGCAGGGCAGCAAGCTCCTCAGAGACGGCGGAGATGCGGCCGCCCAGGCCCTGCTGGCCAAGAAGGCTGCCATGGACGCTGCGGCGCGCGACGCCGACGCCGTTGCCAAGGTCGCGGCGGCGGCCGCGGCCTGCCTCGCGTCCGCCGCGGCCGCCCGCCAGGCAGACGCCGCGGCCGACGTCGAGGCGCTGCAGCGGCGTGCGGACCGCTACGCGCTGGTCGCCGCGGACCTGGCGCGCCCGGTGGACCCGCCGGCGCTGAGCGACGCCGAGTGGGACGCGCTGCGCATGGTGCAGGCGCGGGAGGTGGGCCAGAGCGTGGTGCTGCAGGTGGCGCGCGGCGCGGAGCTCGGCCTCGGGGCCCTGCAGGACGGCACCGTGCGCGGGGCCGAGGCGCTCCGCGCGTGGGCCGCCACGCCCGAGGGCGGCGCAGGCCTGCGCGCGGGAGGCCCGCGCCTGGCCAGGAGCCCGTGCGCGTGAGCGGCCTGCGCCCAGCGCGAGCGTCGCTGAAGTAATTCTTGCGCCAGCACGTGAGGCGGCAAAAGCACGCCCTCCGGTCTGGAGCGTGGTCCACATGAAGTCCACGGATGCACGGTACAGCACAGGGCGGCGTGTCGTGCGCAGGGCGGCGCGCCGAGCTCGCACACGCGGCGCGGGGCCTACATAAGCTATCCGCCTCGCGCCGCTCGGCTCCATCGCAGGACCTTTGCTGCGAGGTCTCCCGAATGACAAAAAACAGAAATCATGGAATGAGGCTCGACCAGAGCACGCGTGGACCTGCGCAGAACTCTCGCCTGGGGCCTTTGGCGTCCCAGGTCTAAGTCTAGGAAGCCCCGGGCAGGTATCTCGGGGGGTCTGCTGAAGGCCACGCCCCCCTTTTTGCGAACCTTTCGTGACCCTCTCAGGGGCATGCTTGAGGCCATCAACCGCAACTCGCATGCGGGTTGTTGTTGTTGTTGTTGTTGAACATTATTTATTCTAAAGAATAATTATTGTTGGGACCCCTGGTGCGCGACCCCCTCGCCGCGCCTAGGCCGCAGCCACGTTTTCATCATTTTCGTGAGGAAGCCTCAGGTAAAACGATGTCATCCAGATCCGGTTGTTTTGTTGACGCCCGCTTTCCCTTGCAAAAAACACTATAAAATGAAATTTCTTGTTCTAACATATCCAAACTTCAAGAATCCCTTGCAAAAAATAAGGTAAAGTGGACATTCGCGCGCGCAAGACGAAATCCTTCCAAAACCTTAGTTTTCGTAGCGATTTTAACATAAAAACATCAAAAAACCAATAGTTTTTCAAAAAAAAATTGTCGAAAGTTCATCCCGCGCGCTCTTGCGGATTCGTAGGAAACCCAACACTTTTTAAACATTTCTGTCAAACGGGCTTTTGCGAGCAACTTTTTCGAACTTCTGCAACAACGGTTGCGCACCTGCCAGGGCCATCATCCCTGTCAAATAATACCATGCGGGACACATTCGTTTTTTCTTCGCGCGCGCACGCCGTCGTCGTCGGCCGCGGGGCCCTGAATAGTAGCCACGGTCGTCCGCATGCCACGAAGTGAAGTGTCCGAACGTCATAGGGCGGGAAGCTGGGTGTGGGTGGTGGCGAAGAGTCGTTTGGAAATTTGGTAGAGCTTGAACCGGCCCCCCCACAAAGTGGGGGTATTGCCCGCCTCCTATGAAAACCCTGGCACTGGTGAGAACGGAGTGTCCCCAGTCTTAAATGATTGTTGTTGTTGTTGTTGTTGTGGTTGTTGTTGAATTCTCATTTCTGAAGAATAAGTATTGTTGATCCCCCCACCGGTGCATACTGCTTTTTCTCAATCAAGGTGTGCCCCTCGACGCTCGCACCCTGTTTTTTGACAGGGAAAGTCTTCCTGCTCAAAGTGGGCCCCTGGCCCCCGGGTTACAACAACAACGGCTCCCGCCTGAGACTTCCTTACAATTGTTGACGCTTCGCGTATCCCCACCAGCGTCCCTCTGGTGCTAGATGACTCGGTTTGGGTAGCGCTGAGACACCTTAGATGTGCACACCCCTCGGGGTCGGCCGTGTATCGTGCACTTCGACGCCCTTCCACTCGTCGGATCTGGGCTGACGCATCTCAGTTGTGGAAGGTACTCTTGTCATCATGCTCCACACCCTGGATGCGCTTTCTTGCGTCGCGACTCGGTTCGCCGTCAGCTTTTTCCGCTGGACTTGTCCCCAGTCAGCCTGTGGTACCCGTCAGGCTCCCTGGATCGGTGTCCTCGGGAACTCTCAATGCTGGACGGCCTTCCGCCGTGACCCTGGATCAGTGGCTTTGAGGGACGTGCCTAGGTTTTCGCGGTTCGCCCTCGTGTGCTCTCCGACGCGTTCTGGACAGCACTGAGACATTGTGATGTGCACGCGCCGCGCTTCGACCGTGTAGCGTGCACTAAGGCGCCCTTCTACCCGCTGGGTCTGGGCTGAAGCATCTCGGTGTGGAAGTTTCTTGGCAACATGCTCCGCACTTTGGATGCCATTCTGGCGTCGCGGCTCTTTGCCGCCGTCGGGATCCCGCTGGACTTACGTCTCCAGTCGGTCTGTGCTACCCGCCAGGCTTTTGATCTACGTCCTCGGGAACGTTCCTCTCGTTCGCACCTGGACCTTGGGAACGCCTCTCGCGCCATTTTGGCTGCGCTTGGTCTCCTCGGTGCGTACCTCAGGCCCGTTGGACGCACCGTTGCATGCCCGTTCAGGGGCTGTCTCTGGCTCCTGGATTGCATCGGCTCCGCCGCCCTGGACGCTGTCGTGAGCCGCCTGGTCCGCGGCCCCGCGCGCGTTAGGTAATTTAGTCGCGGCCGCGGCCCGCCCGCGACCTCCCGCCGCTGGCGCTTCCGCCTGCGGCTGTAAAAAAAAAGTATCCCCACCAGCCCATCCAGAAACGATGCCCAGGGGAGTTGAGGTGATCAGGGAAGTCGGGGAGCATGCAGAATAACAAAGGGCGGGGGAAGCTGTCACGTACCCCAAGAGGGGGAGGATGGAGAAGGAATCCTCGTCGGAGGGGGAGGGGGAGGAAGAGGAGGAGGAGGAGGAGGCGGAGGAGGAGGAGGAGGAGGAGGAGGAGGAGGAAAAGGAGGAGGATAATGAGGAGGAGGATGTGGAGTAGGGAGAGGACGAGGAGGACGAAAAGGAGGAGAAGGAGCAGAGGGAGGAAAAGGAGGATAAGGAGGAGAAGGAGGAGGAGGAAGAGGGGGATGAGAAATGGATGAGGACGGCGAACCGAAGAGCCAGAAGCGCCTTAAATGCATTTCGGAGATCCTCTTGAGGCTTCTTGGGGGTCTCTTGGGAGCCTCTTGGAGGCCTCTTGGGCGCCTCTTGGGGCTGCCTGGGCGCCTCTTGGGGCGCTCTTGGGGCGCTCTTGGGGGCTGTAGGGGCGCTCTTGGGGCCATCTTGGAGGAGATCGATCAAGGAAGGGGGGTTCCCTAATTAGCCTCCCCCCTCAGGAGCTCCAGACATCGCCTCTTGGGGCGCTCTTGGGGCGCTCTTGGAGCGCTCTTAGGTGCTCTTGGGGCCGTCTTGGGGCTCTCTTGGGCCTCTTGTGGGGCCCTCTTGGGCCATCTTGGAGCCATCTTGAGGCCTTGGATGGCCTTCGGAAGCGAAACGGGGAAAAAGCAACACACCATTGATTTTCTTAAGGTTTTGTGACGATTTTGGCCTCTTCGGGGCCTCCTTGGGGAACTCTTTCGCCACTTGGAGCCGTTTTGGGGCCGTCTTTGGGCCTCTTGGAACATCTCGGGAACCATCTTAAGCGATCTGGCGCTATCTTGAGCCATCTTGGAGCTCATCTTGGGCTCGCTGAGGCGCTCTTGAAACCATCTTGGGGCCAAAAGAGCCGTCCGACCGCTCGCGAAACCCTCCGTCCAGGTCCAGGGGAGGGGGTAGGGGGAGGGGTAAACCCCTCCCCAAGGGGGAAGAGGGAGGGGTGGAAGAGGATCTGTTCTAGACCACCTACACCCAGAGGGCTGGTGGGATTTAGGACCCCCGCTCCCGCCCGAGTTTTTTTCGCATTTTATTCAGGAATCGCGCTCTCGCTTAGGACTTCCTTGCAATTTATTGAGGAATCGCTCTCTCGGCGCTCTGGAATCGCGCTCTCGCTGGAGACTTGCTTGCAACTTACTGAAGAATGGCCTTGGGTTGGGATTTCTTGCAATTTGCCCAAGCGCCTCGCTCCCGACACCCAGGCACCCAGGAGTCGCGCCCGTTGTGGCCCCATGTGCATGCCCTTCGTGGCCCCGCTGTCGCCATTAGTGTCTCCCTCACTGTCCTACGTGGCCCAGTTGCTACCCTCAGTGGCCCCACAGTTGCCTTCTGTGGCCCCGCATTATCTGGACTTCGTGGCCCCCGCTCGTTCGCGCTCTTCGTGGCCCCATACGCATGCCCTTCGTGTCCCCGCTGTCGCCCTTCGTGGCCTACTTCGTGCCCTTCGTGGCCCTGCTGTCGTTCTCTGTCGCTCTCGCTTTCGCTCGTCGTCGCCGTCGTCGTCGTCGTCGCCGTCGTCTTCGACGTCGTCGTCGTCGTCGTCGTCGTCGTCGTCGTCGTCGTCGTGGTCTGTCCCCTGTCCTTCCCTCTTGGGGTCGGGTCGACGGTCCGCGGCCGCCCCGCCGATCAGCGCTGCCGCTGGCCAGGCCGACGGTCCGCGGCCGCCCCGCCGCTTGCCGGGGCCCGGCCTGCAGGGAAGAAAGGTATACCGGCCAGAAGGGGTTCGATCGAAGACGAAGGGGGCGGGTATCGAGGGTTTGGGAAATACGCGTTATTGGACACTCGAGCATATGAGGGCGAACAGTCTAAACATAATTGTTGTTGATGTTGTTGTCGTTGTCGTTGTCGTTGTCGTTGTCGTTGTTGTTGTTGTTGTTGTTGTTGTTGTTGTTGTTCTTGTTGCTGTTGTCGTTGTCGTTGTCGTTGCCGTTGCCGTTGTCGTTGTCGTTGTTGTTGTTGTTCTTCTTCTTCTTCTTGAACTCTCATTTCTGAAAAATGATACTTGTTGTTGATCCCCCCTCGCCTGTGCATACTGTTTTTCTCAATCAAAGTGTGCACCTCGACGCTCGCACTCTGTTTTTTGACAGGAAAAGTCTTGGTGCTCAAACTGGGCCCCTGGCCCCCCGGATTACAACAACAACGGCTCCCGCGTGAGACTTCCTCCAAATTTACTCAGGACCCCCGCTCTTGAGATTTCCTAACAATTTACTCAGGATCGGTGCTCCCGCCTGTGACTTCCTCGCAATTTAGTCAGGACCCCCGCTCCCATCTGAGACTTCCTCACAATTTACTCAGGAACGGCGCTCCCGCTTGAGACTTCCTCGCAATTGAATCAAGATTTCTTCGCAATTTAATCAAGACCCCCGCTCCCGCCAGAGAACCCTTCAAATTTAAATCAGGAATTGCGCTCTCGCCTGTAACTTCCACGCGATTTATTCGAACATCGCGCTTTCGACGCTCAGGAAACACGCTGCGCCAAG